GATTTTAATCACTGGATTGTCTGGTCCAGACTCGATTATTTACAGACCGCCGTCATATAATAGCAGGAATATTGCTGAGTGCGGCGTTAAACAACCAACCAACCAACTAACCAACCAGATAGTGATGATACCGGGCGGTTGCCAAAAAGTAAGCGTATCCTGCCCCATCGGTTCCACCGTCACAAACACATACAAAGACAAGTCATCAAAGACGAGAAAACAAGCTGTTGTTCATATGTCAATCATGTTTTCAGAAGACACTGGTGTACTTTCGGCTTTTAACAGATACTACACACATAAAACGTTGTTGTGAGTATTCATAGTGACAGTCCCTTTGTGAGAAGAAACCAATATATGTCCCTTTCAGTTAGGAAATAAAGCTGTTGTAGTTTATAGTTATTGTGCAGTAAGATAAATAAAATTCGGGGAGAATAATGTAGTATCTGGGGACTTCTGCAGTATATTCAGCAGAAGCTATTTTCTTGTGAGCAGGCTGCTGTATTACACGGAAACGGTTAGCATAGTTGACCTCGTGTGGTACAGTGCTACTGCTGTACTGTGGCGAGGCTGTACTGGTGTGTTGCGTCAGTTTTCTGGTCTCATGTTATGTCGTATCACACAGATGCATTATAATGTCTGATGTATGTTGCTCCCACATCATATATTTACTGAATACACACTTTTCAGACCATTATCGAATATTCACTTAATATAGGTTAAAGTGAGTGAGTGAGTATGGTTTTACGCCGCTTTTAGCAATTTTCCAGCAATATCACGGCGGGGGACACCAGCAATGGGCTACACACATTGTACCCATGTCGGAAATCGAACCCGTGTCTTCGGCGTAACGAGCGAACACTTTAACCACTAGGCTACCCGACCGCCCCTAAATAATATAGGTTAAACATTGAGTATCGAGGACTGTTTGAAATGCAGTTAGACGATGCCAGAGAGAGTGTGTCTGTTTGCCACCTTTATATACGTTGTCTTGTACTTCCTTAATCGATGTTCATGAATACCAGCTCGCATGTGTACCCGTAGGGTGATAACCTCGGGCCCTTTGATGCGAAAAGAATGCTTACTTTACACCATGAAGCTGAGGTGCGTTACTTACCTGGAAGTGGCCAGCCCAAGGTAAATCAATCACGTAAAATTCACAAATGGTATATATAAAGGACGGGGGAAACTGTTCCATCATCTCTTATCTTCACCTACCGTTGAGACACAGATACGAGTAAAGACCAAACTGCAAGTACTATTTTAAGGTTTGCTTGTGATATATATGTATACTTTTAATTTTTGATTTATCTGCTGCGCATCTGGCTGTTTTCAATCTTCATGTTGAGCCAATTTATAAAAGTACGAATATTTAACATAAAACGTTCTTGTAAATTGGGAAATATATGAATGCGGGGGAAAGTAAAACTGATAACATAATTCACAATGAGTGGTGTGAACTGAATTTACCAGATGAGTAACGATAACATGCTATTTACCTTTCTTGACAATGATTTTCCCGTTACTCAATAGATACTCAAAATGATGAAGATAGTCGCCGCTCTTGTTGCCTGCCTGGCTGTTACCGCCTTTGCCGAGCCTATCGGTCTGTATGGTGGAATTGGCGGGTTGAAAGGAGGACTGGGCGGAATTGGCTACGGAATGGGTGGATTGTACGGAGGCCTTGGAGGTCTTGGAGGCCTTGGAGGTCTTGGAGGCTATGGAGGTCTATACGGAGGCATGGGAGGTCTATACGGAGGCATGGGAGGTCTATACGGAGGCATGGGAGGTCTATACGGTGGACTTGGAGGCTATGGTGGTCTCTACGGAATGGGAGGATACGGAATTGGATTGGGAAAAGGTATTTCACAAAATATGATATCATTTGTTTATCGTATCCGTAAATATACCTCCAGTCTCGTTTGCAAAATTGTATAATTTACCTATGTGGTATTACTATTTTCAGCGACAAAGCTGATGACATTTACAAAACATCTTTAAAACTATTCTCTGCTTTCTCTAATATTTGGTATAGTTTATCATGCAGCTAGTTTCAAGACTTCGTTGTGACTTATCCATACATCCCAACTTTATTCTACTATTTTTTTGTTTCAGGTATCGGCTATTATTGAGTTATTATCACCTGCCATGTGATGCTGGCTATTTATGTATTTTCTCAAACCAATGGAATTGGTTCAATAAAATCTTGTCATATTTATTTACGCCTTGAAATTTGTTTGACAATCTTAATCTGAATTGAATGTTCACAATGGAAGAGTGATCTATGTTTCTCCATATTGTAAACTCTGGACATAGTACGTATTGTCGACCAATATCCAAGCACACTTCAATGATATTGCGTTTTACTGCTAGCTAAGATATCAACTACTGAAATGTGCTATTAAGTTCCTGAAGAAACCGGACATGATGATAAGAGGAGGGATTTTATGCTTGATATATCTCCCACCAAATGTCACTTACCCGAGTTCATGTTTCACAGGAATGTATCCTTTGGGCTGCCAGGAAAGGGTTTGATGGCCATTTGAAGTACCATAATATCTGGAATTGGCTGTCTGTATTTCAATTTGCTTTTTAAAAACATGCAGCGAAACAAATAAGCAGGCGTGTCAATTTTTGTCAAAGCAGTCATTGACGGTATCAAGGGGTAGACAGTGTGCACTGTATTGAAATGCAAATGTGTGCGCTGTCCTTGAAAATGAACGACAATGAGACATTTGCCTCATTGTCTTTTTCATATACACGATAGGTAATATATTAAGTATCTCCTCGAAACTCGGAATTATGGATTATCTTTCTCTTGTCAAATGAATGTCTTTGCCATTTGCAGAAGCCCGGGACGACATTCATTAAACCATCATCCGTCAATTCAAGCAGATCTTTGGCTTTGCTCTCTCTGTATATCTGATAATAACAAACTGCATGACGTCATGCTTGGGGTAATATTTTATCTGTGTCATATTCCAATATACCGTGAAAAATCGTTAATCCGTGAGGTATTGTGTTCAGTTAAATCATCCGGGATAATTTTATTCCGTTGTGCACATATCCAACCACATAATGGTGTTTGATGGTTACGTTGGGGATTTAACGAACGCTTCCGAAAGTCCCTATTTCACCCTTTTTCGGGATTAACAAGGTTTCCTTGTACACAACGTTATTTTTTACTTACAAAACGGAACTATGTATATTACAGCACATGCTCAATTTCACTGGCATCCATACAAAGCTTCGTCAGCCTATTCTCTGTAGTATGCATTGTCATCATTTTGAGCACGCACCGCCTACCTTCTGAAAACCGCGTTCCCCAATGTATGACAGTGCTTGCGGTCAAACGGAACGCATCGCCGCATAAGAATTCCTATATACTCTGCTATATCCATATTTGGTAGCTTCGTATGTAATTTGAGTCTTGGAAAAAAACATGGTTGGAGTTTGGGAATCTTCAATAATATTCATAACATGTACGTTTGAATGGCGCTAATTCCACAAATACATGCTCATTACCCGTACAAATATGGATTAGTGTTAATGAAGTTTGGATTTCCAGCTTCCTGTGGAGTATAGAAACCAATGTTGTATTAACATTTCCATCGCATCCTAACTGGTACCCATAAACAATTTAGAAAAGTTACCGTTTCAGACCGAATCCCCAGAAGCATGATATTACTCCTGACACCACTCTACAGGCAAATTTGTATAAATGCCTCTTCTTGTGAATGACGGAAAAGGAGACAAGCAGATAAATGTGATACAGCATGAAGCATCACAAGAAAGACGCAGTGTTCGATATACCAACTTATGATGCTGACAAACCTGGAAACATAATCTGTGGGAATTCTTAAATTCAAACCGACGACCATAGGTTTCTGACACGCCTTAGAGACGAGAATGCAGCGCCTTATAAAACCACTTCCTCCAGTCTGTTTTACAGACCCTGATACAAATGTACCAAATACAGCCCATGCAAGTCTATAATATTTGTCAAGTCTAGATTTCTGCAGTATCAGGAAATGAAAATGGGCTCCTTTTTATGCATTTTTTATTTTAAAAAAATAACAACTATTGTTTATTCTGTACGGTGTGTTCATTTCAGAGACTAGATGTTCGCCTACCATTCAGTGATCCATAGAGAAAGGTTCCCTTCACATCGTCATGTGACATCATTTCCACTGTTTTATGTCAACACGATTTCGATCTTTGGAAGCACACAAATTGGACCACAGATGGTACGATAAATCTTTGAAAGAATCCTTGTGTAAAATGAAACTTGGGTGCCATCCCTGACTACTAGACTGTTACCAGTCTCGTAACCAGTACAGTTGACATATTGGCCTCGCCTTATTTGGTCGAGGGATCCTATTTCTCACATCCGTTAGCCGCCATCATGCTATGTTAACAGCTAACAACTATGTAAACAGACCTTAATTATATCCTTATACATATAGACCTTAATTATATGCATTTATATTATATGTGCCTTTGATTTATGTTACACTTAACACCATAATCACACATTACAAGCTGGGTAATTTAACTGAGAGAGAGAGAGAGAGAGAGAGAGGGGGGGGGGGGGGGGGGGGTAACTTCATAGTTGAATGACAGTTAGACCTATGGTAACACGCGTAAGAAACTCCTACTAGACTTACATTCAAATGATTGATGATTGCTTAATACGCAACAAATTAAGGCACTTTTGCATTCATTTGTGTTTTCTTCTTCTTCCCTTTGTTTCCCTTCGAACCTTGGTCGGGGTTGATCCCAATGAAGCACCTGAAATTTGAAATCTTTTAGGTAAACATCAACTTTATTGATTAATTAAGGAATAAGTGGCAATACACGAGTATTAACGAGAGGCCGTTTTCAGTGGAATAAGTGGCAACACAAGAGTTAGAGGCCCTGCTGTGTTATATATATATATGCCAGCTTCAGACATGTGCCTCCAGTGTTACAGTGAGTTTTTGCAGCATGGCTCACACAATTACACCACGACTCCCAAATCTACCTCGCTGTTCTCCACGTCCCCCATTCCATTATGACATGAGGAGAATACCATAGAGACACAGATATAGAGGAGCTCTACAAGCATTGAAGAAGGTCAATACTTGATTAATAGATGGCTGATGACTTCTAGAAATATGTCAACGTTATGGTACAGTCGGACATAATCGGACGCAGTCAGACCTGAAAGGTTAGTGAGGCATACGTGTGATGAGATGATTGTTTTGCATGCATTTATATACGTAAATGTCCCTCCTCGTTAACCCTCCTTTTGAAGTCGTAGAGAATTTAAAATACATCACACACACAAAAACACTTAACGGTGGTGAATTCTGCGGCAAATTCTCTGTTCTCTGATGTCACCCACTGTCATTTTGGTCAAAGCAAACTTGATACGTATTTAGGAGTGGTGTATCTGCCCCCAGAAGGGTCAAAATTCTGTTCTGACGATATGTTTTATCAACTAGAACGTTCAATACTGTCAATGTTCTCTGCTTCTGAATATGTTACACTATTGGGTGATTTTAATGGAAACCTAAGCGATTATACTATGTTTGATAAACACATGCTTGAAGAAGTAGAAATGGATATAGATGACCTGACAAATGTCTACGACCCTGAATCATTGTTAGACGACTTAAACATCCCCCGTGTTAGAACAACAAGTGACTATTGCACTGTTAATAATCATGGTAAAAAGCTGATTGACATTATTTTGTAAAACTTTAAATCTGTTTATATGCAACGGCCGCCTCGGTGAAGACAGGTCTACCGGAGCCGTTACGTGTAAAGATAAGAGTGTTGTTGACTATGAACTTGCATCCTCTTCTTGTTTATCTTTGTTTAATAGCTTTGAGGTGGGTGACTTCTTGCCATTGTATTCTGGTGTTCATTGCCCAATCCTTTTTACATTAGCAACTGCAGGAAACGATAATGAAAATGAAGATTTATATATTCATGATAATGAAAACTATAATCAACCTAATTCACGTACAAAACCAAAGAAGTATGATCAAGATAAAGCTGTGGTATTCTGTAGACACATAGATGCAGATCAAATAAACGCTATAACTAAACTCGCTGAATTAGCACTCACCGGTCATGACGACCCCGTAACTGTCATAAATAGGTCAGCCGATGGGCTAGCGCACGTGCTCGCCAATGCCGCACGAGAAACTTTTGGTATGCGCACTAATCATTCTCGGCAACAGAATTGTAGCAGTAATAAGGTAAATAAACCCTGGTATAATAAAGAATGCAGGTTAATGTGTAGAAACTACTCTAAAACCAGAAAACTCTTCAGAAAATTTGAAACCGAAAGGAATAGATTACATTATCGCCAAGTCGCAAAGAATTATAAAAAGTGCCTCACAAGACACATTAATAAACACAAACACGAAATTAGTACCCAACTGAGGAGAAAAGCTAAAGCCTCTCCAAAAGAGTTCTGGAAAATATTAAACGGGACAGACAACACTAATAATGGACCTATCCCGGATGTAGACAGATTTTACGATTTTTTTAAGGACATCAATTCTACAAGATATGATGATGATGATGAGTTAATAGACGTTCCTGAATCAGATAACTATGGCATTACTGTACTGAATAACGTTATATCATCAGAAGAAATAAAAGAGGGAATTAGATCTTTGAAACGAAATAAAGCCTGTGGGTTTGATTTGATAGATAATAGTTATTTGATTGACGCATTTGAGTTGTTACTGCCCCTACTCACATCACTATTCAATCTTGTATTCACCACGGGTATACTCCCTAATGCATGGTCAACTGGTATTATTAAGCCTATATACAAGAGAAAGGGTGACCCGTTAGACCCTGCTTCTTATCGACCGATCGAACTACTGAGTTGTCTTGGTAAGCTATTTACTGGTATTTTAAACACTAGATTAACTAACTATTTAAATGTGAATAACATGTTATCGCCAGCCCAAGCTGGATTTCGGGATTTTCTACAATTGATAATATTTTTGTTTTGAATATGCTAATGAATATTCAAAAAAATAATAAAGAAAAATTATATTGTGTATTCATTGACTTTTCAAAAGCTTTTGATAATGTCTGGAGGGTGGGTCTCTGGTCAAAATTGTTAAATTTTGGAATTACGGGTAAATTTTTAACATTAGTTAAAAACATGTATAGTGACATTAAGTCATGTGTTCAAATAGACAAACACACTTCTAACTTCTTCCCAGGTTACACTGGCGTTCGCCAGGGAGAAAATTTCTCTCCCCTTCTATTTTCAATATTCCTTAACGATCTCGTACCGTGGTTGATAGAAAACTGTTGTCAAGGTGTCAAGTTAACCCTGTCAGAGGAAACATTTACTCTCTGTACAGCTCCTGTTACTGCTGTACGCTGATGACATAGTTCTATTTGGTACCGATCCTGGATCTCTGCAAACTTCTTTAAACTCCCTCTTATTATACTGTCGAAAATGGAAACTAACGGTTAACATATCTAAAACTAAAGTTGTAGTGTTTGGCAGTGGTACTACAAAGAGAAAAATCGCCCCCTTCATTTTCGACAATAAAGAATTAGAAACGGTAGACTAAACATAGGAAAGTTGGACTTGCCATCAAAACTTTAACCGAGAATGCTACAAAATGTATGTACTGTCTCCTGAAGAAAGTCCGAAATATCAATCTCCCAGTCGATTGTATTATTAAAGCATTTGATGTTATGGTGTTACCAATCTTACTGTACGGCGGCGAAGCGTGGGGATTTGAATGTTTGAATATGGTTGAAAAAGTTCATTTAAAATTCCGTAAATTAGCGGCTGGTTTGAAATTATCAACTCCTTCTTTTATGGTCTATGGAGAATTAGGCAGGGCCCCCTTAATATTAGAGTAGCTAAGAGAATTATAGGTTTTTGGCATAGACATATTATACGATCTCAACAAAATAACTTTTCGACTCTAATATATCAATTCATAAGGATGGATGCTCACGTTAACTCCAATATTCACCCTTGGTTATGTAATTTAGAATGTCTATTAAGCTCCTGTGGCCTGACCAAAGTAGGCGATATGCCATGTAATTTCAACACCAAGTGGCTAGTCTCGTCTGTGGAAAGAATATTGACCTATCATTTTCTACAATCCTGGAGAAGTTTAATATTTTTGAGTTCAAAAGGTTTCTATTATAAATATCTTAAAGAAATGCCATTATTTGAAAACTATCTCTACCTACCTAAATATGTTTATTACCCGCTCTTACAATTTCGCACTAATAACCACAATTTACCAGTCGAGACTGGCCGCTGGAATAATGTACCCAGAGAACAACGTCTATGTTCACTCTGTAACTCCCCAGCAATAGCAGATGAACTCCATTATATATTTCGATGTCCAGCTTTTGATAACAAAAGACTTGCACTTATTCCTAGAAGATATTTAACTTGGTCAAATGGGTTTTCATTAAGAAGCCTATTTTCAACGACCAAACTAAACGAGCTTAAACGTCTATCAAAATATGTATTATTTGTATTTAACACTTTGAATGCTAAACCTAAATGCACACAGCCGTCTTGATGTACATATTATATTTATCTCTGTACTTTATGTATGCTCTTGTACCACCGTGGGTGGTCTATGGAGAATAAAGAATCTGAATCTGAAGATGTTTGCGTTTAATTCATACACGACCTCTTGCTGCCTAAGTGCTTTATTTTCTTAATGTTTAGATGGTTACTTCTTGTCAACTTGTGTGTAATCGCAGGCCAGCTGGTGCGACACTAGTTGGTTTTTATTTATAGCTCCTATTTTCACGGTATTGCTCAACTGCTTTGACGTGTTGTTCCCCAGTAATTGTTTGTACGTGTTGACCCCAGGTTTACCTCTCAGATTAAATATAGATTAACGTTACCACGTTACAATGCTGCTTTGAGAGATCTGAGTGTAAGACGTTGTATCATGGAGAAATGCATCATTTTCGTTTATAAATATTGTTATACCTCCAATGTGGATGTCCAAAGATAACAGGAAAACATCTTACATACATAACATCTTCGTGTTAAGGTGTTTAACATTGAAACTACAATTTATCTTAAATGTCTTATTACAAAACATTGTAAACGCATTTATTCAAACCATTTTAGCGGAAGAAGTTGCAAGGGGGAGATGCCTTAAGATAGGCATGGGGGAAAAGTCCATCTCTTTGCCCCGGGATATACTTGCAAGTAGTGTCCGTCCAAAGCTAAAAAGACAAGCACGGGAAACACCAGACTCCAGACTCGATTATTTACACACCGCCGTCATATAGCTGGAATATTGCTGAGTGCGGCGTTAAACAACAAACAAACAAACCCTTATGGAAATGTAGGCGTGATGCCTCATGGAAGTGATAAGTAACGATAACAGCCTAATATTAACAATTAACTAAACAATAAGAAAAAGCAGACTGATCCGTCAGACTGTATATATAACGTTATGCACAAGAAAATATCCATTATAGAATGTATATTTATGTTGTTCAGATGTTAGGGCAGTATCTTGTTGGCTCGTAGTTTCCCTAAGGCTGTTAAATAAAAAAAGATTATCGGTGCAGGATTAAAAACATTGCAAAATATCGGACAACGCTCCGCAGTTGCTGTTTTTTCAAACCAGTCTAATATTTGAGGTTAATTTTACACCTTCGATAGGACATCTCTGCGTAATTTTATAGTTGGAGGAAGACTAGTGCCGTGCGACCACAATTCTTGCAAAACGTTAGTCACTGCAGTTTGTAAAACGTAGGTTATTTCCTGATTTCATTGACACGAATCGCCTATGCTCTCTCCATGTCGTTATTTCTAATAGATTGATATATGAAACCGTATTGGAGGCACGGACTGTAAAAACCGAGTATTCTTTGGAAAAATTCTTTGGGCTATAAAAATGTAAGTCAAGTTTATTGATAAATGGAGTTTTTCCTGATTCCCCATAAATCATATGATTCAGAAATCTGTTTCTGAGTGAAGCAAAATATTCTAGAAGCATTAAATCCATTTTTTCCCAGCCAATGTTTTTTATCACATACCTAATTTTCACAGCCTAACATGAAGCTTTGCAAAAGAATACAAACCATCAAATTATGGCGTCTCAAAACTCTGCTGGCCCCTTTGCGTGTTATTCTCTATTTTTAAAACGCCAAGATAGCAGTAGCTTTCGACATTTTCATGACAGTGTG